GAGCGCTTCATTAGAGAGCGGTCTTAGCGATCAGTTGACAATGTCATGTGATCAATTCAGCGAGACGTGTGATCACCTGACCATTGCTGGATACACGATATAACGGCAAATACCGTTAGGTTTGGTGCCCACTCGGCTCGTGCAGAAATAAAGCCGTCATTCGTCGATCTGTTATTTGACCCAAACATGGAAAAACAATAATTGACATTCATTCCTTTTGTTATTATGGTATTTATTACGAGTCATCGTGCAATGAACGGCTTAGAAGATTTGATTTTTTTTACGTCAATGTAGCATTAGAAAATGCCAGTTGCAGCACATGAATATGCGTCGCCGACGACAGTTGCATTCATTACTACTGTATCCGATCATATATATAGTTATGTGTTCTCTGAAAATTCACCACTGATTTTGGTTTGTGTCGAGCGTTCAAGTGGATTTCTAACGTGAACGCCACTAACTCAAAAGTGACTTGGCTGAGAAACGATTACGTACTACAATATACACTGACACTCTTTTTTTAACTTTTGAAAGTAATGGTTTTTAGAAACATTCATTGTGTGTTTCAATCAGGTTAATCAACAGTATGTATATAAGTTCAGACACATCAGACAAAACAAATTTCACCTGGTGCTACAGTGGTAACACCGCTTTTGTTGTAGAAGTAACACACGTGAATAGAAACAACGCACTAACAAACAAGTGTGAACTGTCTTGGCTGAGTTCAAGTGCAGCCCCCTACACGTTTTTTTCCAAAACATAAATTATCACGGAACTTGTTGTTTTTCGTTCTGTCATAGCCAGACTAGATTTTTTTAGATTTTTTAAATGTCATAAAATTGATCTAACAAAGACGCACAAGGAGCGTTATGTATTGGAGCTAAGCACGTCTGGGGGTACATCAAACTTTAAGCCTCAACTGTGTTTGTCGTTGATGGCGGGCACATGTAATTAATTGTACTTAACGAGCAATTTAAAAACAAGCTGTACAAGGGCGCTATATACGAATCTAGACTAATTATATATTGTCAACGCTCCACTTAAAATTATAGCTAATACACATTTTAAATTGTAAACGGTTATACACACCATTTACGGATAAATATTATAAGTCAGTTCCCGGACAGCGTCAAAATAAATGTAATTTACAATGGGCGTACTCTGCGTACATGACGTGGAAGAACACAAGAATACGCCATAAACCATTAACGTTAACGTAAAGATCGGTTACCCAGTTGTATATGCCGTTTTAGTTTCAACGTAAATTGGCGTGTGTCTTTGTATTTACATTTCTTCCGTCCAACTTAATCAGCGGTTATTTAGTATAAACGTTGAGCGAATATATGCGTTTTTTTTCAAAAATTACCGTTGATTTACGTTGAACTGAATGGACGACAAATGAAGCATTTCCGGGCTGACGGTTATGCGATGGATATAGCACCCCCATAATCCGACGGTTACGCACGGTGTCACAGCATAACCGCCATGTAATCACTGTGTAACCGGGGCGGAAACACGCGATTTCATGCCGTGACTGCCTTTGACTTTAATTATTCAACTTGAAAAGTTAGCAACTACAGTTGATTTAGCACGTAAAAAGTATTCTTACACATAGCATTTGTAGTACTATTATGTCTTTAGTGGTAAAATACAGTGCGTGCATGGCTATTTCATTTGTAGGCATATCTTGGCAGCAAAGCATTATAATGGTAAGCAAGAGGCTGCTGTTACTAAGCATGGAAAACCTTAATAAATAACTTTTCCAAAATTCAAAAAAGGCAGTTACACAGAACATACCTTCAGTAAGTACCGGTATAAAATGTTATACATCCATGTACACTAGCAGCCTTATCCATAATGCATAACTAAAGCTACTTAAAGTCACAATCACAACAATGTTGTTTAACAAATAAACAAAGATTATGTACAGATTGTGACAACTAATGGCACTGCAAGAGTGACAAAATTGCATCATGTCACAGGCAAGAGGTGATGTGCTAAACAAAGTACTCCCTGCTCTCTGTAGTGAGTGTAAAAGACCGAATAAAAAAGACAGTTTCTTACTTTCAGTCAAGGTTCTTTAATCGACATAATTAAACACCTGATACACTCTATTCAGTGAAGGATGCGTCTCTCAGATAAGATGAACTGCACATGTAAGCAACATATCTATAACTCCTGCAAAGAAAATCGAAAGTACTAATTCTGTCTATTGCACACAGTTTATATAATATGCTTATACTTCATTTGTGCATAAGAAAATACTTGTTTGTACACAATTACAAATGTAATGTAGCTAGTAAGGTTCTAAACAAAATACCTTGATTCTCGTTGTCCAATTGTGCTTATATTTATGTGTCAACCATAATGGTAATTGTTCCGACATTCATTGACATTTATGCACACCTACCATAATACATTTTCAGTGTAACAAAAACTACGCTATATTTTGGCCTAATAAAATAAATCACTATTTTTTTTTCATACCACACTAGTATGTGTGACTTTGAATACTTACTCTTGGTTTTCTGTGATTGTTCCATGGTACTGTATATATACATGATAAAGAGTAAGCAATACATACTTGTCCAGACACACTGGCTCAAATCCAAGATGTTTTCTTTGATGCATGATGTACGTGGAACGTCATAACATACAGCTTTCACCTGTTCTATCTCAGAACAGCATCTACATTCTTCAGCAGAGACCACGACATGGCATATGTTACACTGACACCTAAATTTACGGTCCAACAACAACAACATATCTTGATATATACCTAAATATTATCAACATAATTACTGTATTCAAAATATAAATCATTATGGTAAGTTGTCAAGATGTTCACATTGTTTAAATTTGCATATTTACAAGATAATTTATTCCTGACACTTAAAAATGCATCACCTCACCTCTATATAAAAAAGCTGCAACAGCAATTTGTTGGGAATGAGTTTCTGTAAGCCCCTTCCCAAAATCTAACAATCGGCCCTTCTAATTTGCTTGTATATGTTGTGGTCGTCAAGATCTGTCTACTATAAAGCTGGCTGCCCAATATACTAGTGCATTCAAATTTGGCTTACTTTAAATTACTTTATATAAATTATAAAGACATACATCACAAAAATAAGCTGCTATGCATACAATTTAAACGTAACTACACAGTAGAAGGGAAATAATATTAAACTGAAAGGGGTAGCTGCTATGTTGGCGCATATACTGTCGCTGATTGTATTATATTGACTTTCACGTACAATGTGAACGAATACCAGTACATAAAATGAAATTAAACTTAGTGGGCTATGCAGGTTTAAGTTCCAGAACATTTCGTCCTAGGTCTCAAATTACTCCGAAATACAATATGCTACACTCCAACGATAGCTTTAGCATAACCTTTTGATTCGACCACTTGCCACTCGGTAGTATTCAGGCGATCGTCCAAAGCACAATCGTTTTCTTCAGGCGAATCATTGTGACCGTCGTGGTTAAATTCAGCCTCATATTGGTAGAACTGTATACCTCCATCAAGCGATGAACTTTCGACATCAAAGTCGGAAGACTCGTATTTCAACTCTAGCTCGTATCACGGCCATGCAACGACGTATAACTTGAAGTTGACGAACGTTCAGCACTATCAGTTGACAACGCCATTATCTGTTAGGATTATGTTTGGGTCACACTTGTGACGTCACAGATTTGGCACCCATAAATGACGCAGAGTTCATGTCAGGCAAATGCGCATCGACGGACCGGGAAAAATGCTAACATTGATCGCACATAACAATTTGAAAACTCTTGGTGCGTGAATTTTGATGAAATTGTCGGTATTGTCACAAATTTATTTATTAAATTATGATATCTTGCACGAATTTATCGTTCATTGTATACTTTAACAACGCCCTATAGCGACTAATGCACAACACGAGTACAAGCTCTGACATCACGAACAATGTCGATAGCTAAGTAGTCAAGGTTGGGAAGAACTTAACTAATTTTGAATTGAATTACCCAGGCAGTAAAGCATTTCGACATATCTAGTAAGGAATACAATTAATTGAAATGTATACTACGAGTCAGTGATCATGATGAAGATAAACGAGTGATTTTGTAAATCTGATTTAGTTATGTATGACCAATGTAATGGTCATCGTAGGTTGAGGTCTGGTGGTATATGGAAGAAGGAACAACTGACGTGCTTAGTTTAAGATCTTATAGCCATTATATAAATTTCATTTTCCCGGTAGAGTGAATACTATCAGGTGATCACGCCCAGTGATTTTGAACATGATTACGTGAGCGAGAGAGGTAGGTTAGGAATTGTTTGTTCCCATCCATAAGACAGAGTTGAAGGTCGTAGTATAGTGGTGTCAATAGTTGTCATGCCATATCCCTGGAAGGCATATTAATTTTTTAAATTAGCACTTGGGGATATAAATTTTGTATGGCTTTTTAGGTTTACTGGTAACATTCAAATCTTAATAAGGCATAAGTAAAGTAGGCTGTACTGCATAGTAGCAAATATTTTTTTGTTTATTGATTTGTAATTTGACACGCTGGTACCGTGAATGCAATGAACTTTAGAGCATCTCATCCACAAGGTACATACATCCATACACAAATAGCCTTTGAACCAATGGTAGATTAACATTACCTTTACTTATTAGAGCCTATACATGTCAGATTATTTTAACGTTAAAAGTATTTTATGCTTATATTAGTCTATTCGAAATTATAATACAAATAACTAATTCTGCCCAAGTGTGTACCATTTGTTAATTGAAAAACGTATAATGGCCAATGTTTCGAGTGCAATGCATGATTGCGCTCAAAACATTGGCTACACTCTGTTTAAAATGTCCTCTCTGACAAATGTAATGCTATATTTTTGCACTGACATCAACTAATCTTATATTGTCAATTATTAATTTAGAACATACATGTAGGTATATGTCCAAATGACGTTGAGACACTTAATATCGTATCCAATAGGAATGTTCTATTCACAGTTGTTTCATCTTATTTTTAACATTCGATTCCTCTTCATCTCCGGACACGCTTCCATAAATATTAGGAGTTGTCACACTCTGTGGTTGCCATAAATCTACGGAACTATTTGTAATGCATGGTGACTCGGCGGGCATTATGTAATAACGGTTTAGATCATTGTTGTCTTCTTCTAGTGACACGGCCAATTTGCTGTGACGAATTCCATAACAGAAATACAGCATCATACCTGAAACACATTCATACAATTTTACATATTATCTATTTGTAGATGTATTCAGCCTTTAGGGAAATTACAGTGAGGAGTATGCAAATTAAGAAATGCTCTATTATGAAATTAAATTGGAATAAGGGGTGAATTTGATTACAAAGGTTGGGTTTTCAGGAAGTATTTTTTATAAGTGTGTGTTTGTATGGGTGTTATGTCTGTTAACATGATTCTACAAGTAATTGTTTAATACTGATTTGTTTAATTTGTATTCCTATTTCACTGATAAAAGATGTTCACTATATTTATGTGCATTTATTGTGATTATGAATTTCAATATTCTTTTTCAAATTATAAAATACAATAATTTTACACAAAAGTGAAATGATAAATATACTTTGTATATGAAGTGTGGAAGTATAGGAAAACCTTTTTCAGTTCGTGTGTTTTGTGTCATTATTCTGAACGACAAAAATATTAACTGGTAAGCATTTGCTTAGTTACTCATATAAATTTATGCATAATAAAAATCCAAAATAGAAACCAAAGAAACACATTAAGAAAGAGAAATTGGATTGTGTGTATTAAAAGAGAAATTACAATTTGTCATTAATTGTTATCAAGTCGTCTGCAGACATTTGGCCTGATTTAACACTATGGATCTACCCAATATGCAAGTAAATATAAATAATTAGATCTCGTTGATTTTATTTATATCCTACAAAGAGCAAAAATTTCAGACAATGTTTGCCTTCAATACAAAGCAGCTTTTTGTTGCCTTATATGTAACTACACATTTGTTGTGCGGAATTGGGTTCTTTTTTAAATTGCTTCTCATTTCTAAATGTGAAACTATTATGAGAATGTTGTTCCATGTTGTATATCAGATAAAATAATACCCATTATATGATTTTGTTACCTTCCAATACTTAACAATTACCTAGTGTTATCCAGACAGCAAATCTAACCCATGTCATATAAGATAGATTCATCATAAGCATAGCGTTACAAAATATACTCAGAGATGGTATTAATGGGACCAACGGCATCTGAAACACATGTGTGTAAACAGGTTAAACAATATATGTCAACATGAAAGTAAGCGGTTGATAAATTACCACTCAAAATAATTAGAATAAACCACAAATATTTTTAAGAATTGTCTTGTCGGACAAGTACTTATGAAAATTTAAAAGCACATACCTTAAAGGTCACGATACTCGTATTCTGGTAGTGTATGCATAACACAAAAAAACAAAGTAACACGACCGATCCAAATATAACCACAATCACAATAACCCAGAACCTTGCTTCTGCTAGTGCGTCACCACAGAATACAATAACAGCAGCTAATGTAAACATGAATATGGACATTATAAATACTGCAAAAGCTGGTATAGTACCAGGTCTAGCATTTCGAAAAATTTTGCAACCATTAAACTCTTTCCTAACTTCGCCACCATGATGCGACTGGGAGTCTTCCCTTTTCAACGGTGATGTTTCATCTTTTTTCTTAAAATCCATTTCAATTTTATCTTGATTTTTATGTTTGTCGACAATTGTCAATGCCTCTGCTGGTTCATATCGTAGTACAAGTACACCAGCTGCTACTATGGTGTATGCTAACAGAGTACCAATTGAT